GAGTCTAGAACCAAAGTGAAGGTAAAGCAATCTTGGTCTTCATATCTACGATCTAACTACGGTGGTAAGGTTGCCAGTCAATGCACTGGTTAAAACAGATCAATGAAAAAATTCGTAAGTCAATCTTGTAGTTTGACCTTTCCTAACTGTTGTAGACGTTATTGCGTCGCTTCAAGTTTTGCATTTTGACGATAAAATATCACTCCGATAAGGTCAATGTTATATAAGCTCAACCTACGTTGCAAAGATTAGAGGAGACAAATTATAGAGAAAGGGAAAAATTATCTAGGTTTTAAGATATTAAATCTAGACTCAGGCATGACTTGAGTCAGATTCTCACCTCGGAGGATTTTCTGAAACTACAGTAGATGACAGATAAAATGTCGAAAAGGATATCGGAATATATGCAAAAAAGGCATCTAAAGAAAGCAGAATAAATAAGGAATCTATAGGTAGACCAAGGTCCAACCATCCGTCAAAAATGAAGATGCCTTCAGAATGAAGAATCTCAGTCCAGACAAAAGATGAAGATAAAGTGTTGGATCTCTCTTTTATACCTCTTGATCCCCAAACCACAGAGATCCTCAAGTATTGAGGAAATTTTGCCCTTTGGAATAAAAGGAACTTAATCAAAAACATTTGTATGGTGATAAATGCATATGAGAAGCAAAGGGAATAATTCCAAAGTGAGCTGGAAGTGTAAATCATCCCAACAATCTTGGTGCATCAAGACGCAGGGATAGGAATAGTATAACCAAGGCATATAGAGAACTCAGAAAAAATTATCAAATATTCTTAAATGCAGACAAAGGTGACAAAGTGGTAAAGGACATGAAGGAATATACAGAGAAAATGAAAAATATTCTTTGAGGCCCAACTTATGGACAGCTAAAAATAGCTCAACCGTTAAAATTCAGACGTCACTACAATAAATGCTAAAGAAAATGGAGTGAAAGGAGAAATCTACAAATGGGCAATGACTTCAATCTTACAAAGGGATGCAAGAGCACCACTAGCACAGGGTTTTAAGCCTAAGGTTCACAAAGGAGAACCAGTGAGACGTATAGTCAATAGCAAACACGCACAAACTAATAAATTTGCGAAATTTATCTGCCTCAAATTAAAGACAGTGAATGAGATTAGCATATACAGTAAAGAACTCATACGAATTTTGCAATAAGAATCAAAGTCACCAGTACGGTAGGAAACGAACTTCTTGTGAGCTTTGAAGCACAGTCCATGAACACTAATCAGATTAATCAACCTAACAATAAGAAATACCTATTTCACGTTCAAGGGCCGTATCTATCAGCAAATATTTGGTCTGCCTACCGGTTCATCACTCTCATCTCTGTTGGCTAATGTATACATGAAGATTTTCAAAATTGCGCCTCAGTAGGCAACAGTAATTATGCGATATATGGATGACTACTTCGCAATCTTGTGACATGCAAAAGAATCATCAGAGGATTTCCTAATCTTCATATGCGAAATGGATGAGAAGTCCAATTAACCATGGATGTGGAAGAGAAAGGTGACTTTACTTTGTTGAATGTAGAGGTCATTCTCTAAAAGGAAACTCTCAAGAAAAAACATTTCCAAAAGAAATCGCATGCTGGAATAACTCTTAATTTCCAGTTGAACCATACTTATGGAATAAAGCTTGGAATACTGAAGAGTATGGTCAAAAGAAGCTTACGAATAACTGATTCTGGATTCTGGGAAGAGGAACTGTGAAAACTAACTAAGATGTTCCTTGGAAACGGATATCCAGAAGAAGCAATACAACGCAACATATGGATGGTGATGAATAAATGGAAGGACGGAGATCATGAAAGGAAAGCAAGACGAACAGAGGAAAAATGATGGATATATCTATCCTCCTGCGAATTGGCTCGGAAGTTATGGCTAATACAAGGGAAATGGAGCATTCGCACAATCCTAAAGGAAAGGAACACCCATTCACCTGTTTGCCAACACAACATGAAGAAGTCAACAAAGTGGAGTGCTCATGAGTTTACAACATAAAGTGCAAGGACTGTGAACAAAAATGCATCGGAACGGAAAGGACAATCAGCACAGGAATTAAGGAACACCAGTGACTATGTAGAAAAATGGATACGGAAAGATCAGGAATAGCTGAACGCATCGCACTTAACAGACACATAATTGACTGTAATGCAACGAAAAGACTGGTCTCATATGGGAAAAACACCAGAAATGGAAGATCAGGAAGGCAGTGATTTTGATGTTTAGCATCGACCAAATGACTATCGGGTTAGGACAAAGGAGTGCTAAATGAAGATAAGGAGCGCTGAAATCGACACATGGTATCCGTGGTGGAGATTATTACGCTTCACTAAGCCCACTTGTAGAGATACACTCTTAGACGACATTGGAGGAAACGAGAGCACAGAACTGTCTTAATAGGTAGATGGGCCAAATGAAGGTGGGTTGGGAGAAAGAGATGCAGGAATAGAAGGTAGAGCAAAAAATAGAGGCTAGGAATGGTGCCACAACAGTTGGTCGATTGGATTGTCTTTCTTGTCACTTTGATAAGTTGTAACTCTGTGCTAACAATGCCGTCTCAAACTAACACGGCCGACTACGATTCCGGCGAAACGTTTGGGGATGTACAAAGTAAATGTTCAGATGCTGGAAATCACGAATCCTATAGCACACAAGGCAGAGGACTAGATAGGTACCACAGGGTCTCACTGACGCTCCGACCAAGTTGGCAAAACGAGGTCGAACCGACACTAAAAATCTAAAGGAGACTGCGACTAAACGGGAGGTCACACCGTCTTGTTCTTCATATCTACGAAAAAATAATAAGCATAATATATTATGCCATAACCAAAATTTTCAAACTCTTTCGTATTTAAAGTAATAAAAGTTAGGCCAAAGGACGAAAAGTGAGAGAACTGCCAACACTGATATATAAATAACCATGATAAATCTGTAGTGAGATCTGTATTGAGAAATCCATGTGATTGTATCGACTTTACATAACTTTTTATCAATACTTGATTTAAACCTATTCCCGACACTGAACTTGTTCATCAACATAAGCTTTTTTTCCCTTCTTGACAGAAAACTGATCATCTGAAATTGAATAAACACACTTAAATGACATCAGATTTGCCAAGCTACGCAAGCTTTTTCCTATCAGATTTCTAACAGATTGAGTGTCTATATACTATTGCATTCAGTCGATCAAATAAATTTGTCGCTATCTCAAAAACGATAATCATCTTCCAACACCAAAAAGGTGTTTAATCTGACATTCAGAAGAGTATTAAGCATAATAAATCATCTGCGGCCTTGTCCCTACTCCATCGAAGGCGCTCATCCGCAACCGATCATTTTACTTCTTAAATCACTTCTGTATTAATCAGGAATCTAGAAAGTTCCGTCAATTACCTACTATGCCACTTAGTACATCCTTTTCCAATACAGATCTTGTCAAGAATTTGATCGGCAACCAAAACTAAAGCCTATGCTTCCCTTCGTCCACACAAGCCTCTCCGTAATGTTGCTATTAGGCACAGTAGCAGTTAGGAAGACGTCTAGAAATGTAAACCCCTTCTTCATCAAATATATGGGCTAAGGTACGTCAATTTTGATTCCAATAATTTGTACGCCCAGTAGCCCAATTAAGCTGAGATCCAGTAGTATAATGAGTGACATATTAACCATAAGCCGCTAACACATAATTAATCAGCTTATTAATAACATGAAACAAACATAATTATAAAATAGAACAGGTCTGAGAAAATAAAAGTGTATATTATGGGGATAAACACACAACAGTTCATTAATTAATTAATTAACCAACTTTTGAAAATATTAATTTCCATATAGATAAGGATTTTTGGAATTTAATCCTCTCGTATATCGACGAAAACACTTTTCCTCAAACAAATCCATTGTAGTCAAGCAACTCGTTAAAGAAATGCTAGCTCAAGTATGAGTAAGGAATGATTTAAAAAAAATAAAATATCCTTAAGTAAAAATCCACATTTTTATCAGTCCCATCCAGATTCGAGCAATATATAGGTATATTTTGTAATGATACTGGCAAAAACAAATTCCTTAAATATTGGTAGTTTAAGGGCAGTCCTTGGAACCAAATATTGGGGGGCCGTAGCAGATTGTAAACAAAATAGTTTAAAAGGATGCCACATGGACCATGTCTATGGTAAAACAGGCCTATTGTAAGCCAACTAGCTCTAGTCTCCGCTGCGTCTATCCTATTTCTATCCGTAATACCAAGTCTATGTCTTGCTATATCCTAAGCTTTTGTGTGCCAACCCACAATGTTGTGGTACTGCTTGCTTTGATTAGGTTCAATGTTATCTTATATCATCAATATAAATGCTGAGTACAAAATAAATCTGAGTGGATAAAGTTCAAAGCATAGACAATACATAAGAAATAAAGAATAACCCTGGTTCAAAGATTGAGGGCCCTGGGAGACCGAGGAAGACTGATATTGCTGGGCCAATAGGACAGGTTGTGTAAAGAGGCGATCAGCAACTCTGTGTGCCCAATAGGAGCGAGCAGCAAGGAGACTCGATTCCAAGACGCGCAGCAAAAGAGAAAGAAAAGAAGAGCTCCTAAAAAGCAAACAAAAGTAGCAAATAGAAAGGAACAATTAAAAATTACCCACTCGTGAGCATTTTCAAAGGCAGAATAATTTAAAGATATGAATACCAAGATGTTGTGTCCTCTGGTATAAATTGTTCAGAAGTTTACTGTATAGCATGCGAACAGAAATATATTGGCGAAACAGGGAGAAAAATTAGCACATGAAACAAGGATAGAAACAAGGGCAAAACTCACTGATGATCCCGGCGAAACGTTTTATAATGTACCAAGTCCATTGTCTGATGCTGAGAATCATGACAACTACTATGGCAGATGACGTTATACTAGGTGCGTTCTACTAAGTCGCCCTAACAACAAGACAAAGTTGGGACAACGAGGTCAACCCACTTCTAGAATAATTTGAACTTTCTCGAAAGTTGAAGAAAAGTTTGGATTAATCGAAAGTATAAGACCAAGATAGTGTGGCCTTTTTTTTGTGGTCGCGGTCTCCTTCCGTATAGTA